TCTAGGATCATTTGGAGTTCAAATAAAGAAAACGAAGCTTTTCAAACAAGCAGCAGATGCAACAGATTTTAATGCAAGACAGGAGCAATATAGATCCAGATTACACAACGAAATTATTCCAATCAATGGCAAAGCGCTTGTGAGAAGTAATAAGACGTGGTGGACGCATAACAAAATATTAACTTTTTTTACTTTTTCCAAAACTGAAGGATTTTGCACAAATGACGAATACCTTTTTTGCTTTGTTTTTCGATGTTTCGCAAAAGAATTGCGTTTTTGTTATTTTATTTACAATTTTTTCCTTCCAAATAAAAAAAAAAACAGATTCCAAAAGCTGAAGATTGCATTATCTGTTTCAAATTTGTTTGTTTCGTTCAGTTGTGTTATACCATTTTCTAAGGATTTAGTCGATAGTTCATTTCTAGTAATTTAAAGCCTACGGATTGGGTGGAATTTTCCTTTGTATTTTGCTTCTTCTCATTCGGTATTTTTGTGCATCTTAGTGGTTATGATAGCTTTTATTTTGATTATTTAATTTTATTTGACTAAAACTAATCATTTAAATTACATTCGCAGTGTGCTCCTTTGGCAGCTACCACCCACTATTAAAGGTAACTTCGGACCGCTTTTGCAGAACACCCAATATAAAAGTTTACTTTTCGGATTTCATTAAATTTTCACTTCACTACTTTTTGAAACATCGGTGAATGCATACTTTTTTAAAAAAAAGTTTTTTTAGTCAGCCGCGGTAGCCGAGTGGTTAGCATTGCGTACTGATATTTGGAAGGCTCGGGTTCGAATCCCGGTGTCACCAACATCAAAAAAAAAAGTTATGAAAAATTAATTTAAATAAAAAATTAAATTAAATTTTTTAATTACGATCGCCCCTCGGCAGCGAATGTCCATCCCTCCGAGTGTATTTCGGACGTGAAACAAGGGCTCCTCGCAAAAAAACATCAGCCGTTCAAAGGCGGCTTAGTATAAACTGTAGGTCCCTTTTTTGTGGGAAAAATTTAAAGACGTAAAACCAAAAATTTGCAGTAAAAGCTCCGCCGAAAAATCTCTTCAGCGGTTACGAAGCGTCAATTATATATATGTATATAAGAACAACAGAAGTACAAATGTGTGAATTTGATATACATAAATATGCTCGAGGGCGCTGTGTAATACTGTTTTCCGAAAAAAATATTATGATTACCAACTATTCTCGTAAAAAGTTAAATTTGAAAACCAACAAAAATTAGCGTAAAATTAATTTACAACAATATGGCTAATATTATTATATACTGGCTTAAATAATAAGCTTTTTATTGGCGTTTGTAACCACTGTAACGATTTTCGTTTTGGAAATAACTGAGTTCTATATCCGCTCATCTCCGTCTGCTCGTACGCAAACTAGTCCCTGAGTTCTTTTTTTAATATTTCACCCAAACTTAGTATGCGGAGGCATTGTTATATTTAAATAATCATTTGTCGGAACCTGCCAGATCTGATAATATAACATACTCGTTTATGCTAACGACATTTTAGAATTGAAATTTTGGTTTAGTAGCATCTAAGAGCGCAAAACTTAAATTCAAATAAATATTGGTATTAAAAATCGTTGCATTTGCTATACGTTTAAAAAGCTCATGAAAGGTTTAAAGAGTTGGGCATGTTTTCTTCTTTTTATTTAAATAAGCTTCCTACAAATTTTTCTCTCTTGATCCGGTCAGTCACGGTAATGAATAATATATGTAGTATATATTATTGTTTTTGCTTCTGAAAAGGTAAAAGTGCGATGCAAGCTCGGAAGAAATTATGTGACATTTATGGCGAAGACCGCCGAACTGAAACCAGTGTCGTGGCTCGTTCCTCCCTATTGTAACAGCTCCAGCTTTTCATGAATTTTATCACATTTCTCTCTGTTGAATCGTAGACGAAGGAGAAATCGATTATGTATTTACGATGACACAGTTCCAAAACTATAAAATGTATGCTTTATTCATATGAAAACTAATTTTAACGAAATGACTTTGATTCGTTTTGGCGCCATGTTAACATTAATTTTAAAAGGGCTGCTTGCTATGATTTAACAGCACACTTCAATTTTAACACTTAACATTATCTGTTAACGTTTTAACATTACCTGTTGACGATCTAACATTAACGACAGCATTTCGTTTCCGGTTAAAACGAAATAAAATTTATTTTGATTTTTTGATTTATGATACGTAAAAATTTTCGCTACGATGCAGACTTGATTTAATTAATAAAACATGAAAAAGTATATAAATAATAATTAAATAATTAATTAAAAACTCATATTTATTTGGAAAACCATAAAATTTAATGTTATTGGTTTAGTTAGGAGGAGAATTTTCATATATGTTTACATGTATGTATATATGCCCGTATAACTTTTGTATAAAATGTGATGGAAAGGCATAGTAGGCATGGAAAAAAGCAATTGGTTGGATAGTTGGAATTGCCTGGCACAGTTAACCGAAGTAAATAGTTTATACCTATAATAGTTCACTTGACTGCAGGGTAATTAGATAATTGAGCGCTAGCGAATAAGCATGTATACGTACGTGTATGTATGTATAAGCACATAGTGAAAAAATAGCGCTTGTCAGCAAACAACCGTTATCACAACAGACCGGAAATAAATAGAGGGAGAATTTCAAGTTCATGTGACAATCAGCGACAATGCCGTTGGCGCGCGATCGTTCACGAACGAGGAAAATAGTAGAGCTTTGCGCTCTCAAAACGCTTCATGGAAAACCGGAACTGCAATTGCTATTATTTGCATTATTTCAAAGTACAGTTCTATCAAACAAAAATAAATCAATTAAACAATTATAATACATAGATTGCATATGCATTTACGTGAATATACACATATGTATATGTTCGTGTATGTGCAAATGAGTTAATGTAAAGAGAAATGGCACAGGCAGCAACTGTGCGGAGCGGTTGACCCTCATCGCATTTCTATTTTTACATCAAACGGCGAATGCTCTTGAAAGTGTTTGTTTTTAATTTTTTTCAACGCACTTAAACCCATATGTACATATGCCTGTAGACACGTATCTTCATGAAAAAGATTGTATGTATGTAATTAGTTATTTTCACTGATTTGATTATTAATGTAAAAAATTTTATAGGAAATAAACTTTTAAATACTTTTAAGTTTACTCGAAGGTACACATATACGAGTATGTATGAAAGTCTGTATATTCTTTAATTAGAGCATTCAGTCTGATATATCGAGATTCGGTTGTCTCTAGTACATAAACTCAGGACAACGGCTGCTTGCGTAAATGTAATTAAATGTGCAAGATGTTTTCTGCTCGCACCCTAGTCTATAAGAGTACTCGTAACGGCAGGTTTGGACCAGAGGACCAGAGGAGGACTCATTGCATGTATCAGGACCATTCGGCTCTCACGATGGAGTTAGAACTCTTCTCTATGTTTTTTGACCGTGCTCTGTCGACTAGCGACTGAAGGAGTTCAGTCTGTCGAGCAGACGGAACAATCGATGTCACTTTATAATCCACTTTGGCATTCAGCTCCGATGCGTCAAAGACTTTGCACAAGTCCAGTAATTCTAGGCGAATTCGCGTGGTCATGAGTCAACTGAGTGTTTATGGCGTTAAGTGCGATGGGGGCGCCCCAGAGTTGACCCACATTTTATCCACCCAAAGACCACTTTTTCAGTGACCCAGGCCCTTTAGTCTGGTCCGTAATGCTGATTTTTTTTTTCAAACTAAACATGGAATTCAAACGAATGAGATTTAAGTTGAATGAAGAAAATATGGTATATCTTTTGAGTTCTCGCCGACTGTTGTGAGAGTTGCAGTATGAAGTTATACGTAGATAAAGAGCTTGACCTAGATTTTGGGATCATCACATCCTTCCAACGGAGTCAACCTAACCGTTGTCTCTTAATTCGCTGAACTATGCCAATATCGTCGTATTATGGTTCACATATACGCCCAACTCCACCAACAACTGGTGAAATTTTAAAGAAATTTGATTATGCATCATTATAAAATCCAGTACTTACAACAACTGAAGCCAACAGACCATTCAAAAACAAGCAGCGAACATAAGCAAAATTGTCGCTTTTGGGGCTCAGAAAATCCTCAAATATTTGAAGAGAGTCCATGGCAGCCACAATAACTTACTGTCTATGCACCTAGAGGTGTGATTGGACCCTACTCACGACAACGGCGAGACTGTCACTGTTATATCGGAGAGTTATGGTCGTATGATAACCGACTTATTTTTGGCCTGCAATTAAAGAACACGACTTACGACAATATGTGGCTTCAAAAAGATTCAACTACATGCTACAAAATACGAGTGAATACATTTAGCTTTATTGCGAAAGAAAGTTCAAGAGTTTACCCACGGTGAGGCATGCCTGTAGTAAAAGGCGACTAAAATCCAATAGTTCCCCCGACAGTCAGGTCCTTATACCGGAACGACCCGGACTTTTATCCGGCAAAGGACTGTCACTCCCGCAACATTCCTCCAAAGGTACTCTGGGGAATATTTTTGTGGTTACAACAACAACAACATTAGATCCGCGTAATCCTGGTGCATAGCAACTTAGGTTTGGATACCATCGCAGGTTAAACTCAACCCCATCACGCAACACATAGTGGAATCAAAGTAATACGAAGCCCTCCACTCCGCGATCCACTGGTTTCACTTGGTATTGAAACATGGATACCCGTTTTCGTTAATACTTTTTACTAATAATTATGATTTCAGTATAAATAATATTTGAATTTGGTTTCTTAAAAAAAGACTTTCATATTTTATTTTACAACGGTGATTTAATAACGTAATTGTAATTAACTCACAAAACTCTCGGGACTGAAGTGCAGGTGTCTATAAAAAATACTCAGATTACATTAAATAAAACTATACTTACATATGTATGTAGAAGTAACTTGAATTTTCGACACGGACTTGCCGGCAAGAAAGTTCTTAGCAAAATATTTTTCGAAATAATGCCCGCAAAGAATTCCAGTAAGGATATTTATTGGTCACAATTAAATCTATTTATTATATACTATGCATGCATGTGTACATTCATTTAAATTTAAATTTTCCATAACTTACATATCCTTTTACGAGATTATAGCAATTTGCTTTAAAAATAATACATTCAAAAACATAGTGTAGTTTTGAGACAGTCAAAGAAAAAAGTAGTCAGGGTAATAAAAATAATTTTCAAAAACACAGAAATTTTCTGCAGTGTCAATTTATGGCGGATATACCTAACTATTGTACAACATTAGTATAGAGAACGTTCTTTTTTCGATTTGAATAAGGAAAGCAACGAGATCTGCTTGCTGCTTTCAATCACACAAGCGTCCAACATCACACCGAAGCAATGCCAGTATAGTCGTAGATACTACATTTTTAAATGCTTTTTAGCTTGATTTTTATCTTGTTTCCGCTCTCTTGATTGCAGAAATTCACGGCGCACTTCGCTGGACCTAACGTTAAGTATACAACTTAATTTATTTAGAATATGTTCAGCGGTGTGAGTATCAGCCTCAAAATCATAGTGTTTAAATCGCATTTGAGGAAAATGTTGACCTGTAGCACTGTTTCCACTACCGGAACTAGTTGAAAAAAGGCCGAACGACGAGGGTACGTGCAGATAGTGACCGGGACTTTTAGGTGACTGTGCGCCTGCAACACCTCCGACCATACTACTTTCACTAGCATGTGTCATTGACTTCATATCAGTTGATGTTTTGTTGCTATTCGATGATGATGACGAGGAGGACTTTAGCCAAATGCGAAGTGTTGCTTTTAAATGACGTTTCTCTATAATTTCACATGAGGCTATAACGTCGATGGGATATGTGACCGCTTTTTGCTTGGTCCAGAATTTCGCATTTTTGTGCTGATCTATTTCAATACGTTCACCTGAGATGCCCAGCGTTACCTCCGTTTTAAAGAATGGTTTCTCATTAATAATGAGGCGATAAGTGCGATACATTGGTGCTTCCAACATATCATTATGGCTCATCATACGTTCGTCATATTCTTCATTGTTAGTGATACAATTAGAATCAGCTTCGTCGCTAATTCCACCGGTATTTGTTTCCATATCTTGAATCGATCGAACCGCAGCCGCAGCCACTCTTGATTTATCTTCCTCTGATGTCATCGATTTAGTTGCCACATTATTAGCATAATCAATACGAGTTACTTGTGCCAGTGGCCGTCGCTCTGCTAAGGTAAGATGGGAAAATCCAAACTTAGAACAAGGTTCTCTATCGTCCAGGGGAGGAAATTCCTCCATTGCGTCATTATCTTCAGTCATATAAAGTGCATAATGTCGAATAGATTTTAGTGGAATCTCGGGATATTGTATTGTTGCCTTATAGCAAACGAGGCCGATGACCTAAACATATGGTTTTCAGAATTATTATTTATTCTTTCTAAAGACATACAAGGTTTGACTTACCTCTATGATTTTAGCACTAGCCAGAACGCAAATTTTTATAGGGGTTTTACGATCCCGTTCGGGAAGCATACTTAAAAATACATGTATACGTTTTGTCTGTATTCCCGCTTGAGAAGTGCCATCAAAGCGTGCATATTCCATAAATTTATTTTGTACTTGCTTTGGACTATTTGCCAACTGTAGAGCAAGTTTACTTTTTACTGCAGTATTACTACTAGTACCTATGTTATCAGTCACATCAATATCTCTAACGACATTTTCATTGTTCTTTGTAATTTGTAAGGATTTTGTAACTTTTTTCTTAACAAAGAAATCATTCCGCTCTGGGGGTATAATTTCTTCATCGTAATTAATAGATTTAGTTTTAGCGGCCTTTCTTCGTGCCATATCCATTTTCTCTAGTTTTTGTGCAGTATTTGAACGAAATCTATGAGCCCATACTTCGGGATACATTTGAATTTCAAAAGATTGAGTGGTGGAGTCCATATCTTCATCATCACTTTGGTCTAACCCCGGATAACACACAAAATCCACTTCCTGCAACACTGGATCTAAAATACGTTGAAATTGTTGCTTATTTCCAAGTGACTTTCTTTGCTGTTGTTTATTTTGGGTAGCGATATTTGAAACAGATGCACCTTGATATTTACGCAAATAATGTTTAGGCATGTCATCACTTAACATTACAGTCTCACACATTCCCGTATCATCTGTTGAAATAAATGAATTACGTATGTGAGAAAGCAACCAATGCTGATTGCTATATGACGCCATTTTTCTTGTATTATAAAAAAACAGTTTAGTTAACAAATAATGATATTAAGCTTAAGCTTATAAAAAATAAATATCTATTGGACTATTCGGTATATCAGAGCTGTCAAAATCCCCTGACGTTTGAGATTGTCAATCTCAGAGTTGCATCTCCCTACTAGGTAAATTTCAAGAAGCCAAATTAAAGCACCCCTGTAAGAACTTGCTGATGAGTTCATCAGTCCAAACACTAACGAACGTCTCCATAGCCAGTTGCTGCTAACCGTATATGCATTATATTATGTGGCTCTATTAACACAGCCACAACACAGAAATTAACAGTTTTATTTTCATTATAAATAATATATTTACAAAATACTGCGATTGTAAATTTCAAGGATGTCTTGATACCATTTGTTACCCCACAAGAAGGCTTCCAATCATTGAAGCCAACTTAGGTCAGGAATACATGATGTCAGATCCCGCCCCTTCACTTTCTTAAGGCCGCAACGACAAATGTGATGTTTACATTTGTATACGTGTACGTCATTCTATCTTCGTTTCCTTGTGTAGTTTCGTCATTCTTGGCGGACAAATTGAACAATACTGAGCAACAGGATTGATATCATAAGAAAACAATATTGACTTAAAAAACGCAGCTGTGACGTACAAGCTGATTCCAGATGAGCGACATCACTGATGCCAAAATAAATCAGCTTTGGCAAAGAATACATATAAGATTCAGTCCTTATTCCAATATTTTTACATAGTATGGCTTATACAGCATAGATAAGAAATAGCAATACAACAATAAATTCGCTTCCACAAATCAGCAAAATATTGTAAGCAAACCCGAATACGCAGAAATTTTTAATAGTGTCAGGCGTTGGTGTCGCTGTTCCTCAGTTCTACGAACGCCTCTGGCATAATCGCAACTCCTTTCAATTTTAAAGACGTCTAAAATCAACTCAAAATTTTATTAATATCTCATTACGAGGTGCAACTGCAAAGGCTTGTTGTTATTTTTAGATCTGCTACTGCTGTAATATGAGTAGCATCCATATCAGTCAAACTCCTCCATTAGCAGAATTTTCCGTACAATGTGGGGTGTCCTTAAATAAAAAAATATATAAACAGTTATGTAAAATTAAATAGTTAATTAATCGACAATATATTATTACCACAGCTTGTACAGGATCCTTATCCATATTTTCCATTGCTATGAAGAAAACGAAAAAATGGCATTCTACTCGAAAATAAGAACATAAAATAAAACGAATAATCCGTTCTTCAAATTGTATATATTCAGAAGAGAAAGAGAAAGAAATTAATTCGCTTATGTGTTAGTGCTGCCCGAAATCGTATGAGTGTATTGGTGAACCCATCAGGCCGTCCTCGTAGAGTTGTAATCATCCACACTTCATTCGTATGCTGCAATGGTATTTATGCGCACATTTTTATGAGCAAGTAAGGAAAAGAGTAGACCAGAGAGATATACTGGAAATACTCACACACTCAAATGATGGGAAACTCTTTTGTAGGGTATGGGGCGCACGGTCCGATTATTTGATTGTTAAATAAACGCCAATATGTTTAATATAATGCTATATTATATACTACATGTATATATGTATATGTATAATACTTTTTATTGTTAAACATTCAACATTCATCTACTATTTACTTATTTTAAAGCAACACCAGTGTTGTCCCTAAAGGATACTCTTTGATACTAGACCTCCAACAACGTCCTTTTCTGCATTTATACATCTAGTCGGTTTTCTCCTTGAATTTAGTAAAATTCATAAATCTTACTTTCGCCACACAGACCTCCATCTAAGTCTCCAAGAAAGTTCGAATGGTTCACTTCGTTCCCTGATTTCTTGAGCAAACATCCACATACCATTATTCCAATGTTTTCGTTTTCCTACTTAACTTCCCGCTGCCATTCAGATTTTTTAGATTTCATTAAATTAATACAAGTGTTGAATTAAGCATTTGAAAGCTGCAGGACCTATTCGAGCGCGGGAACACTGCCCTTAGACCACCAAAATTACCAAATCGCTCGGCTATAGTAGGCATTTACCTTACCTCTCCATTAACTAATTGCAACCGAACGGCTCGAATTCCATATGCTGGCATCAGCACCCAAAATGAAAGTTTCATCAGGAAATAGTTAAGCTAACATGACTGAAGTTTATGAGAACTCCTTAAGGAGTTCCCGTTCCTTGCTATACATAAATGCTTCATATTTCCTCCTGTGGTTAATGAGTAGGAGTAGGTGCAAAATTTTAGGAAAAATCTCAGTTCATACAAATCATGAGGTCGGGATGAACTCTTAACTCATTTAAACTTTTGGTATTCTTCATATTATTTGCCGAAAACGTTATAACGCATGTTATCCAGCTAAGTCAATCGTGCTCTCCAATGACCCATAAGTCTTTTAGACACTAACTCATCAGCTCGAACACTAAAATCTCCCATAGCCGCCGCAGAATCTCATTTATCCATACTTCTGGGACTTACTGATGGCTCAATCGATCCAATTTCGTTGATTTGTCCAATATCGATCTCACATCTGGTTTTGGACGAAAATCTTTTAACGGGGAATAATTATTTGATTTCTTTCACGAACCCACAACTTGTTTGTCCTTCAATCTACGTCCAACTTACTGCTTTTAGTGATCAGTATTTCCATTCTGCGGCCGCGATAGCCGTACTGCTATTCGGAATGTTTGGGTTCAAATCCTGGTGGCGTACTAACATCCAAAAAGTTATGGAAAATTAATTTAAATAAAAATTTAAGCCCTTCAGCAGGAATTGTCGACCCCTTCGAATGTATTTCCGACGTGAAATGAAGGCTCCTCATAAAAAACCGTCAGCCGTTCGTTGGAAAACCATCAAGACGCAAAACCATCGTTTGGAGGAGGAGCTTGGTCGAGAATCGTTTCTGTCACAAAGCGAACAGCGTTTGCGTATCGATTTAATCTTACTAGTCTGAACGTATTTAGCAAGCCCGGACTATCAATTTCAGACCGTGCGTAAAGTTAATTTAAAGCCTGAAGTTGTGAGCTATTTGCTATTTTTGAACATAACCGGTAGACTGTGGACTAGTTTAACGTTTATGTATAACATAATCTGAATTACGGTCGCCCTTCTGTAGGGAGTGCCGACCCCTCCGATTGTATTTATGTATGTCATAAACTAAAAGCTCCTCATAGAAAAACCATCTGCCGTTTGGAGGCGGCTTAGTATAAACGATAGGTTCCTCCACTTGTGGAAAAAAAATCGAGAAGTATACTGCAAATTGGAGGATAGCTGGGCCGAAAATCGCTTCAGAGGTTACAAAGCACCAATTGTATATGTAAATCATACCAGGTGTTCCACAAGGTACAGTTCTTGGGTATTTGTTGTATATACTACACACAGTAGATATTCTTTTCAGTGACAAAGTAATCTCGTATGGAATCCAGTAATGGGACAAATCTTGCGGGAAATTTTTTTTTACTTATTTCTAAGGGCTATAAAGGGCACACTTTGATACATGCACAAGGATCTAAACATACGTACCGCCAAAGAACAGGTAGAAGAAACAAATCGCACTTGTAAAGAGTAATATTGAGCCAGCAGCCTATTCTTACCAATGTAGTATTATCTTTTAATCAAAGTATTGTATTACTTATTGTGAGGTGTGCGATGTCGAGGCATGTGTTAAAAAAATGTAATTATATATATTCACATATATAAAGAAAAAAGTGTTTGAAAATAATTGTCGTGAGCTCAAAGTTGATATAGTTGGTTCAAATAAGAACATCGTCATCATGTCGAGGTCTTCGATGGCTATCAACGAACAATCAGTCAACCTAAGCCACCACTACGCTTTTGTAACAAATTTCTTTAGTAATGAATAAGACGCGACTGTATGAATTCGCATGCAACTCTGTTTTTTGACATTCTATTATTCATTCTGGTTTTTGCTTTCGTATGCAATTGATTCAAAGATTATGAGAACCAACTGTGCATGCGAATATTAACAATATTGGTTTATAAAAATATAAGAACTTCGTGTGTTTTTTGCAATATGGTTATTAATTCGATGAAATTTATGTGAATACTCACTTCAAGGAATTATAGCGGTAACTGCGAAAATGGAATTGGATTCGTGTGATGATGGGAGTTATTATGGTGCGTTGTTTTTCTTCAGAAATCATATCCAAAAAGCCGAATGCCATTGTCTTTACGTTTGTGCTATTCGAATTGAAATGTTTAAGATTTCTCTTGAAGTCTGAAAAATAGATATACATAAATAAAATTTCCCAATCAAATTGTGAAACGCATATGTATATGATTCATCAACATAAGTTTACGAATTCATGCTATACCAAGATCTAGCTTATAGTATTTGATCATGGCACGTTTGTGTGTAATAGCTTTCGTAGAAAGGGTACAAAATGTTGAAATAGTGTAAAACTGTATAGAAAAATTGTAAAATAGATATGTATTCAAAATTGATAAGATAGCGTTTACCCAAGGCAATGAGTATTAGATTACTTACTCAAAAAATTATTTTTTGGAATGATACTGATTATTCTGATAAACTATGAACTAAATTTCTTCTAACCATTTTCCGCATCATTTTCAGATAACTTCGACAAACTTATGCAGCAATCGGACAATTATTCACTCGATGATATCGATGAAATTTTACGTTCAACTGATTCTCATCTGGATTCATCTATTGACTTTAACAACCTAACTCCCCACAATATTCGCCATTTTGAACTTCCTTTGGAGGTGGATCTTCATAATTCGTCATCTCAATCCATTCCCAATAATGATGATTTCAAATTTTCCCTGCCCTTGAGTTCCTGCGATATAGTAAGCCCTGATATATGCACTCCTCCGATCAAATCTCAACGTACTTCGTCTATATCTTCTATGGACGAAGACAGCTTTAATCCAGATGATTACATAAACTTTTTGAAAACAAATGAAAATAAAACGTACTACTTTGAAGAAAACGGGTTGCGGCAGAGAAATACACCCTCTCCGACTGAAAGTTGCAGTAGTTCCGGGGGTAGCTCAACGAGCGGTATTCAAAGTGATGTCTCCTCGGTGGCCTCACAATCTAAAACTTATATGGAGAAAAGCTTGAATACGGATGTCGAAAATGGTACGAGTGAAGCAACATATAATGGACATGGAACTATACCAGCACTTTCAATTAAAGAGGAAAACAGTTTTAACTCAATACACGCCGTTGAACAAACACAAACGATTATCCTTCCGGCTTCAAATCCAAGTACCATAGCTGTATCTATGCCATTAATGGTGCCAGTCATGCCGGTTAATACCATTACTACCAACGCAACTGCATCAACTACAAATCTTCAACAATTACAACCACTACAACAAGTGCAACCTATAAGTGTTTTACCTGGCACATTTTTTCCGGTTAAAACAATTCCATTAAAAACAATAACTCAAACAAGTTCCAACAGTAAACCCGCGGCATCAATAAAAATTGGACCAAAGCTAGCCCCAAAATGTAACATAAATAGCTCAAACAATATTGTTAAAACAACCCACCCAGCAACAAACACATCAAATGCAACAAAGATAGTTCCGCCAATAAATACGAAACCAAAAACTGTATTCTTAACTCTGAACGATTACAAAGCATTAACTCAAATTAATGGAAAATGTATAAAGGGCGGCGGTTCATCACCACCTAAAATATTGTTAAAAACAGCAAGTGGAAAAGTAATAACGGCTAATAAAGTAATATCTTCTAGTATTGGCGCACCTTCCAGTTGTGCTCCAAAAGTGATTAAGACAAACCATGGACCTTTAGTTGTTAAACAGCAATCATCAAAACTCTCGCATGGAACAGGAACCCCAAGGCTATCAATGAGTAATGGTCCCACAAGTCTGAGTGTTTATAAAGGTCTAATTGATGAGAAAATGTGGAAGAAACAGCAGAGAATGATCAAAAATAGAGAATCGGCTTCGTTGTCACGTAAAAAGAAAAAGGAATATGTTGTTTCTCTAGAAGCACGTATCAGCGACTTGGAAAAAGAAAACTGCACGCTTAAAGGGGTAGGTACTTAATATAAAACCAAAGAATCCCATTGAAACACATTAAGACGCACATCACGAATCGGAATTTTAGGTTTAGAAGAAGAACAAGAGAGCTCTAAGTTCAAAACAGCTACATATATTTAGCTCCTACCAATTTGAACAATACTAACTGTACAATACTTAAACTATTTTCCAAAAAGATTCTGCTTTTATCCAGAAAAAAATTCAATTTAGTTGCTAGATTTTCTAAGTTATTTTTTAAGGTTAATAACTAATTAAAACTAATAACTAATACATAGAAAAATAATAATTAATAATAATAACTAATAATAAAAATAATAATTATTAATAAAAATAATCAATTTTAATAAAAATAATAATAATCATAAAAATAATTTTTGATTAATAATAATAATGATTAACAATAATAATTTATAATAAAAATTAATAATAACAATAGTTAATCAGAATAATAATAATAATCAGCAATAATAAGAATAAATAGTAATACTAATTAATAATAATAATTATTATAATAATTTATTATAAAAATAATGATTAATAATAATAATGTTAACAACAACCTTCATAATCATTTTAATGAGGGCTCGTTGAAACTGTCTACCTATTCAATCTATGATGTTGCTTTTTAAGTATTTAATTTAATTGTTTCTTTTTTTAAGGAAAATTCATCTCTGCGTTCCCAGTTGGTTGCCTTGGCTCAATCCTGTCAATGCAAAAATAGCAATATAAGTGAATTCGTTTTAAATACCTTGGATATTAATGCGAAAGTATGCGCCAGCGATCACCATGTAAAAATCGCTCCGAAACCAACCGGCAAAAGTCTGAAGCAGCGAATGACTGCCGCTAATGTTAAAAAGAATATTGCAATCCTTTTTGCAATGGCTTTCATGGTATCTATGAATATGGGAAATTTTCAAAGCTATATGAATAAAAACCACATTGAAAATTCCATCGATTCTGCCGCAGCTTCTGCTGAAGAACCAGTTGCTACAGGACGGCGATTACTTTGGGCTGAAACGGAAAATGAATATAAGCAAAAGATTAATAATACTAAAAGAGAAGCTGAGATGGACGTACCTCCATTGCATTTTTTGCAACCAGTGAATAGGTCCAGATCAGACTTGGGAAATGAGCAAAATCGTAATGTATCAACAAAGGAAATACCATTGACACCCTCTGCTAAAAAATGTGCCAGCGGCTCGAATTATACGGAAAATCATCGACTGCATAGCAATTTACATAAATGGATTGATGTTAACGATTATTTGAACTTGAGCTTGTATAAAAACAATGGAAACTCTTTGGAAAAATCTCTTGGATTCGGAAAAATTTCCTCGGATTATTACGATAGGAAACCTTTGCAATTGCCCCTCCAAGAGGCTGTTCCCGCTATAAAAATGAAACGTAAAATAATAATGACATCATCAGTAGTTCAAAGCAAACAGTCGAAATTGGAATCATCGCAAGGAAATGAAATTAATGATAAGAATGGAGCTGAAAATGAAAAGAACTCATTAGATATATTCAAGCCGAAAATTAATGAGGAATACTTGCGGCTATTTAAGGGAATAAAGAGGCAAGACGACACCTTCTATGTCTTATCGTTCAACATGGATCACATATTATTGCCTGCTTCTGCTTACAATAAAAGTGCACGTCCCAAAATGTCCCTCATGTTGCCTGCTGGTGATCCCTCAATGAATGGTGATATAATACTAATGCAAATAGATTGTGAAGTTGTCAACACAACTGAGCTAGAGTTGAAGTCGTTTATGATACCAGAAAAACTTCGCCCACAAAAATTCGGAAATAGCAATTTTCAACCAACACCGAATCCAAATGACGTAATGAACAATGAAACACGTTCAAAGGAAGACCATCGGAAGGAAAAGGGACAAATGCCTCAAATGCCCAAACAAAAGTCACCACCAAAGACTTACTATATGTTAGGACCAAGATCAGCTGCTGCTGCGGCCGCTATGAAAAAGAAGCCAACACTTGTAAGATTGGGCAGCACTGAAAATATTGAAAATATCACACATAAAGCAGAGACCAATACAACAATTTTCTCTAGAATGTATAACACAGAAGGGTGAACTGTTATATCAGATACTCTTCTCTTAAATAACAGAAATATTATTAATAACTAATTAGCTTATATGATAGTAATTACATATTTAATATTTAAATATCATTTATCCTTTATTAGCGTTAGTATAAAAGTAAACCAACGCAATTTTTTTAGTTAGTTTATAAGAATGCCGTATTATCGTTTCACAATTAACAATGGGCAAGCGTATTCCTGAGGAATACAATAGCACATGAAATATTTCGATGCGTTCACAAACCCAAGTGTCTGCAGAGTACTTCTTTAAGAAATATGATGGCTATGGCGCATCGTGAGCTTCCTAAGTTTTTCTTTCTCTATAAGTGTAAAAGTATTTAGGGATTGCATTTTAAGAGGCACACCTACTTCAAATATTTTTTGCTATTTCGTAAATCTCCCAAAGTCATTATGCCTGCTGCTAAACTACAAAACACGGCATTTACAATGACGTACGGTTGAGAGAAAAGGAAAACTTAACGAAACCACAGTTTTCGCACTAGGTGTGCATTTTAAGGTGGCAATAGCGAACCAAGTAATAAATAGAAGGTTTGCAAATTTCCGTTGTATAAATATGGGTTTGTAAATAAATAATTCATTTCAATGTTATCTCCATAACCCGTCAGCATGAGTAGATAAATATTATTATTAAATGTTCACTTGAGCATAATATATATCAATAATTGATGAAACATTAGAAGATTTAATAGTTTTAGGTGACTTAAAATTTGTTAAGAATACAATATATACACCTGTTTTGCCGTTCTTTTGACTCTTTACGTCTTGCTTGCATTTGCTTTCCTCTAGGTAAACTCAATTTGAAACAACAATTATACGTGCATATGTGCAATAGTTAAATATGATTGTGTATGATTTATTTTAATAAACACACATTTTTATAAACAACAAGCTAAAATCGAAATTTTATTCTGAAGGAAAGTACAGAGGTGCGCTGAAACATCTGTGCTCCTAGTTAAAGAGCATAACGTTATGCTGTATAAGCAATTTCATCGTCCGCATTACCTCAACAGATACCTACTGGAAGCTGAACCACCACCTAGTTATATCAGAAAGGGGTACTAGGCATGAAAGACTGCAAACAGCGTTTTAAAGCTGAACCGTTGGACAGGGCGGCATACCGAAGGACTTTGAACGATATCCAGCGAGAGTTCGTCAACAATTTTATTAACTCTCTTCGCGTGAATGATGTACTTGGCATCCAACCACCACTACTACGGGAGCCCCTAGTAATACTGACATAATTAAAGTTCGGTTATTGCAATCGCATTCATTCCTACTGGTCGAGATTTGACCTCGACATACCCAACGTATGTTTTGCATGCAATAGATAACCGCTCTTCACATGGCCTCTAAGCACAACTCATCTAGTACTAACATGAACTCACTGGCGATCCATACGTTTACTCAGAAGATTTGAGCTTCCGTTTAGTATTTGTTTTTGTTTTTTTTTAACCTCATGAGTTAAATGGGAAGACGAATCTTTTGCGGTTGTGCGTAGGGTTTGAGACCAACTATTTGAAAAGAAAACTATAATGAAAAATCCGAATGGCTGCAAATGACTGATCCCGCAGGGAAGGTGGCGCTCCCCAGCTGGTTGATGTCCTCGAAAGATTGAAGGTTGGCATCACCGCCGTCTAAGAAGTGCGGTGGATGGGACAAGAACGGAAAAAGGTGGGTGCTTGTGAAATATAGAAGCAATAAAGTAGCGCAAATTTGATGTAGGACTTTTTGTGCCGAGTACTGGCATTGACTCCACCCAAAAATCTTGGAAGAGACCCGTACAAAAAGAATCGATATACATAACCTTTTCATCGATTTTAAACTGCTTTCGACAGCACAGTAAGGCCTGCCTACACACAACTATCCTTGAATTTGATATACCGGCAAAACTTATGCGGCTGCGTAAACTAAAGTTAAATGAAACCAAAAGCTCCATCAGAATCGGTCCTCTTCGGGCCGTTTGGTACCAAACGAGGTTTCAGACAGGATGACTCTTTATCTATCTTCAATTTTAATGCAGGAGAAAGTAATTTAAGCTGCAGAGCTGAATGGAGAAGGTACAATCTTCTATAAGAGTGTACAGCTACTGGCGTACGCCGAAGATATTGACATTACCGGCCTCAAAAACCGCACTTAAACAATCGCCTTTGGCCATTTATATAACGTCTGCAATCAAATTTTGTTAACAGAACGAATTTTCGGCTGCTGAAACGTTGGGGATGCTACAGAAAGCCTTTGGGGAATGAACTATGTCGCAGAAGAACGTGTATAAGTGGTACATAGACTTTAAAGAGGGGTGAAGCAAGACCGAAAAAATCACGTCAAAGTCGCTCGAAAATCAAGGTCATGTTAACTTTTTTCTTCCATATTCGTGGCTTGGTGCACTATGAATTTCTTCCGCACGGTCCAACGGTAAATGAGGAATATTATTTAAGCGTTATGTGTCGTTTGCGTGAAGCAATTCGCAAAAAAAGACCAGAATTATGGGCCAACAATTCTTGGTTTTTGCATCACGATAATGCATCGTCGCAACACTCATTCTTCGTGACAACTTCGCTAAAAATTCCACGAATATCGTTCCCCAACCACACGGTGTTCGCCGGACTTAGCACCATGTGACTTCTGGCTTTTCTAAAAACTCAAGAGACCACTTCGAGGACACTGTTTTGAGTCGATTGAGGAGATTAAACGTAAATCGGCGCGCTCTCTGAAGGCCATACCAGAACGTGACTATTTGACATGCTTTGATAATTTGAAAAAACGTTGGCACAAGTGCTTTGCATCGGCAGCGGACTATTTTGAAGGCGACGAAATCGATGTAGAAGAATAAATAAAGATTTTTAATTTTACAAACAAATTCACCTTACTTTTTGCCCACAGTAGTACATATATATTTAATAAAGATCTGAAAAAAATAAATACAGTACAAATAACGGTACGAATATAATGAAATAAAAGTTATCATTAACTAACACAATATTTTAATCATATTTTAATGTTGTTAGTATGAAATTCTTTAAAAAAATTAGGTTCATCTGTATGCCTAAGAGTCCTGTTGCTTTATATAAAACCTTGATCTGTATTTTCCAAATAGCACTCCCTGTTAGTGTTTACTGTATTAAGAATTTCATATTTTCCGCCATAATTAACTCTGAAATTGTATACTTCAAACAGAGTAATAATTAAACACTTTAATCGGGTCATCAATTTGAGTGGTAAGCGGAAGCTTTTCTTCTAAATTGAATCCTAATCTTTTTAGTGTTTTTTAATGTATTTAATTTTATTTGAGTTCCCAATATGATTATGTGGTTTCCTTGCATTAAAATATATGTATGTATATATTTTCTAATTCTAAAATAATAACGTTTGTACAATTGAATTCGTTGTCAAAAATAAATTTATTTGTTTCTTCTTTGATCGTTCAAAAAATATTTCTTCAATTGTAAAGTAATCTTTTGTTTTTGAGCTTTGTTAAATACACAATCATTAAGTTCACAAAAAAATGGATGCCTTTTGAAATATCCTTCTGAATTACATCTAAACGTTTTATTTTTAATATAATTTTTATGAACAAAGACTCGTTTATTCTCAAAACAATCTGAATTTTCTCCTTCTTCTTAGTTTGTATCATTATTTGTATTTCAAGGCGATTCCCAAAAGAGTCTAATATTGAAAAGTTATTAATTAAATTATTTAGTTAGCAACGGTATTTATGCGATATAAAATCTGCAAGCTTAAGAACAACACCAAGGAGTGAACTACTATCATCGATTATTTCTCTAAATTTTGGATACATTTGGCATTTTGGCTACATTTGATATTATATCTTTTAATTTATTAAATGAAGTAGTGAAATTTAGGTCATTTTTGTTAATTTTTATCATATCTGCATGACCTGCTGCCTTTGCATGATCACGTATACGAATTTGCTATAAAAATCAGTTGACCCGAGAAATTACTTTATTGATTTAATATTGATCTTTGGTATATTAAGATTTTAAATAAACTTACCACTTTGGTTCTATGCCTTCATCCTTTTCCAAAATCCACATTTGTCCGTTGACGTCACCGAACCAACTTCGTCATATGTACAGTACAGGCTGTTCATGATCATAATAATAAAAAAATTTAAATTCCTTTAGCATTTAAATTTATTTATTTTTTATAAATTTTTATGATTTGTAACCATGTAAAAAGATTGCAGAATGATGACAAGTTTACATATACTGGGTTGAGTTGCCAAAAAAGTGCCAGTCCCAATAATATCCGGGTCAATTCCGGTGCGTAAAACCTCTCTTGGCCGAGCTACGTGGTTCATAGACGTTCATATAACAGAAACTATTTGTTATAACTAGATTCGGAAAAAGGATGATATTGTAGAGTTCTGAAATATATATCAGGGACCTTTTATCCACTATTATTTGGATTATGAATAATATAATGTTTTAATTTTTTTTCGTGTAATATACTTAACGTCACCTAATATGGTTTGCGTCTACAAGTGAACTAACTCTGCTCAGCTTCATGGCTACTTATTCAAGAGTTGTGCTTTGCAGACGTAGTTTTGTAGTATGATAAGGGTCTCCAATTATACTGCTGGTTTCCCCAATCCCACATATATGAATATAACTTTAAACGACACAATAACAGTTAAATGTCCAGAGTCTACAGATTCATTAGTGGTTTAAAAGGTTAAACTGGTTTATGTGAACGCTCAATTCATGAAAAGCAAATGACCAATTATTTTTCACATGATTTTGGTTCACAGGCAGACTTCTAACAGTAGATTCTTTTTTGATTAAAGCATTAATTTGTGCGTAAATTATTTAATTTCTGTTTAGATACATACATACATCGAAAATCTGATAAAATCAAATAATAAAAAGTATGGAAGACCTATATTCGGGTCGGATAAGTAGGCATGTCGTACATACATGGTTTTATATTTACTGTATTATAGTGGTTGTATTGCTCGGCGGCACCGCTGTAGCCGAGTGGTTAGCATTGCGTATTGGCATTCGGAAGGTTCGGGTTCAAATCCTGGTGTCGTACTAACATCCGAAAATTAATTTAAATTTTCTAACTGCGCTCGCCCCTCGGCAGGGAATGTCAACCTCCTCTGAGTGTATTTCTGACATGAAATAAAGCTCTTCATAAAGAACCGTCAGCCGTTCGGAGGCGGCTTAGTAAAACTGTAGGTCTCTCGAGGAGGAGCTCGGCCGAAAATTGCTTCAGCGGTTACAAATCTTTCTAAAAAAAAGTCCCCATATGTAAAGGTTCAAAATCGAATCTTATCTACTTTCCTCGCGGTGTTCCATGGTATAATTGCATAATGAATTGAGTTAATTTCCCGTAACAAAGGCTTTCTCCAGATTGGTTGCAGAAGCGAAACGAATATGTCTGGCAGTCTCAATACATCAGACTAACCTTTAGTGCTTTCGGACCTCGGCTGGCACGTCACTGTTGACTGTCATAATGCCAGCCTTTAAATCCAACTCTGAATCACTCTTGCCAATATGTGCTATTTTATGCTGCAACTACTCATTTTGCATACCTCACAGCCTTAACACCCCACTGGAAGAGCGATGTGCATACACGAGCTATCGACGCAGGGACGAAATGTTCCCCGCTGCCAGTGTGAATGCATACTTTTAAACAAATTTCGAATAAAACGCCAATAAAATAAACCTAGTCCATATGATAATAAATTATTAATTAGGAATTCTTTTGGAAAAATAAAGTATTTGCTTAGTTTATTTAATATTCTTTTAAAAAGTCAGGTGAGCTTAACCGGTATTACGGAGAAAATCAAATCGCCACTGGTTTCGGCGGGACAACCGTCAGTAACGGCATGGGCAAACGATGACAACTTTGTGTTTAAATGACGCTCTCATA